GGTTCGAGTCCCGTTTGGCGACTGTGGAGCTCAAATCGCGCCCGGGATTTTGACCTTCTGGCAGCCCTCAGGGCGAAGCGAAATCGCCCGGCGGCCAGGAGACCCCTGCGGCCCTAGGGGCCCCACACTGCAAGGCCCTGCACTGTGCGGATCATGTTGCTGGCGGTCACTGCACCCACTGCACTGCTTGCGCCGCTCGCGCTGCATGCGATCCTGTGGTGCATCGGGTCCCCGCGGGTCCCTGCGGGTCCCCGCAGCACAGCCGTGGCGGTGCACCCCGCAGCAGGACAACACGATTGGAGCCTTGTACGTCTTCGGGAGCATGCTCGGGCCTAGTGCCCCTTGGCTTGGCTGCCCTTGGCCTGGCTGCCCGTGGCCCTCGCCGTCGCCGTGGCCGTCGCCGTGGCCCCAGGCCTGGCCGGCCCTGCTCGAGATCGTAGTCCACGTACCCGCTTTAAAACTTGCAGTGAGGTGGCACTGCGCCGTCTTCTGGCGGTGTACGTCATTTTCGTGCCTGAAATTCCGGTCTCGCTCGCACCTATCTGGCGGCCCGGCGTTCCGACGGCGTGCCGACGGCGTGCCGATGCAAAGTCGGTAATTGCGCTAATCCTGTGACCGCTAATCTGCTCATTAACAGCGAGTCGTGTGGGCGAAGCGGCGAAGACTGGGCGAGGCGGCGTGCGCGATGCGGCCAGATACCCGAAATGTCGCTGCCATGAGGCCGCTCTTGTTATGGAGCTGGGCAAAGCGTCGCGCAGTGGGCCAGAAGACCGGTGGAGGCGGTCGAAATCCCGGACGCGTTTTGAGATCCAGAGTCGCTGGATAGGACTCGAACCGAACGTGTGACCCCACCAATGGATTGCTCTCCGAACGAGGAATCCATTGGTGGGGTCACACGCTGGGTTCGTTCGAGTGACGCTGGAGCTCAAAACGCCCTGCGCCGGTCTCCCGGCCCGACCGTTAGCCCTTTTTGCCTTTTAAAAGGTGGCAATCCTTGTTCTGGCTCGTCGTTTGCTCGATCGGGTACGGTTATCACTGACCATTTCTTTGGCCGCGACGTTTGAAAGAAAGGAGACTGTGGCTACAATCGGCCGGCCGGCTGTCCGTCTGGCCATTGAGGCTGACCCCGGGCGTCACCACGGTTACAGTGCCGTGGCTGCCTTGGCAGTGGCGTGGCAGGGCCGCCACCGCGGCCGCCGCGATTCAGTTTGACTTGCCTCGCCAATGTTTTCTGCCGCCAAGCTGTCGCGCCCAGTGATGGGTTACGGTACCCGCCGCCGGCGCTGCCTTTTGCTCCCATTTTCTGCCCGTTTCTTCTATCTCTTCCTTTTTTTTTGCTTTTGATGTTGTTTTTTCGTGTTTGTTTCCTCGCGCTGTTTAGGTCTCGCAGTGTGTGTAAAGTTCATAAGTTGGCAGCGGTGTTTGTGCCGCCACCCCCGCGCCAGTGTGGGAACATTTTCCCCCAAGTTGGCAACACTGCTGGCCGCGTGGCGTCCCGCGCGCCCCGCGGCCGTTCGACCTTTCGCCATTCCACGCCAAAGTATAACCGCGAGGCAAACATTTCCTGAGACAGGCCACCTCCGCGGCCAGCCCAGCCGGCCGGCCTGCCTGCAGACCGATTCCGAGAGTCGCTTTCGTCGCTCTGTCCTTCTCTCGCACTCATGGCGCGCCCCGTGTCGGTGCGAGAGCGACAGAGCGACGACAACGACTCTCGGAATCGGTCTGCAGTCGGAGGAGCGTCTGAAAAGTAATTTCGCTTCGCGCGGCGCCCGTCCCTGTCACCGTGGCCGGCAGGCGGAGGCAAGGCGGAGCCACGCCAAGCCCTGGCCGCCACAAAGACTGGCCGAAGACCTAGATCCTGCGCGACTCACCTTTACACTCGGATGTAGTCTTTGATACCGCGCTGGCAGTCTGGATGGCAGTCTGGATGGCAGCCTCGACGGCGGCGATCCGGAACGGAACCAAATTCCGGGATTCGCCGCACTGGGCCGGCCGCGCCGCGCAGCCGCGCGCTGCATATTTCAAAATGGCGAACCGCGGTTCGTTTTACCCGCATTTTTAACGCGTTTTATATTTTCCCGGAAAGTCGTCTTTGCCTGCATGCGCCCATGTCTCACGCATATAAAAATTAACCTTTAAAAAAAAAAATTAGATCAACTTTTATTTTTGTACAGTACACTGCCAAAAATGACTGCGTTATTCCTTTCCGGGCTAAAGGGGCCGAGAGACCCTTAAATTTGATTACAGTGGCGCGAACAATTCGGACGTTACGCGGCCCTGGAGCCGCGCGGTTCAATCAGCAGGGACAAATGTTGACACTGCACCGTTGCGCGCTTTGCTGAGCGGCCGGCACCAGGCGGCCCTCCGAGAGTCGTTTTTGTCGCTCTGTCTCTCTCGCACCCAGACGGGGCGCCCCACGAGTGCGAGAGAGACAGAGCGACGACTCTCAGTCTGCTGCTGATTGGACGGACAGCCTAAATGGCCAGCGCGGCGTGAAGCGGCCAGGGATGACGCTCCGGGCGACGGTGCCGTGGATACTGTCAGTGTTGCCACCTAAATAGGCTTAAATTCCCACGATCCACCACTGTCGATAGAGTTGCCAACCTCCGCCCGCTAACAAGGCAATATCCGAGCTTTGCTCTGGAGGAAACTCTGGAGAGGGTTGGCAACCCTTCCGACACTCGTGGTCTTTTTTTCCTCCCAGTGTGGCTGCACTGCGTAGTACCAATGGACCCTCCGCCGGATGTTTTTCTTTTTTTCCGGATGCCAATTTTGAGGTATGCGGATTCTTGGCGGCTCGGAGATGCGGTGGCCGTTCTCGGAAAAGAGCCAAGGCGGATATGGCTGGTGTGGAAGCCAAGTGGGTTACTGGGAGAACTGGAACGGTGTGAGCGCCGCGACGCCTGCGCGCCGCCTTGCGCCGCACCGCGCAGCACCGCGCAGCACCGCGCAGCACCGCGCAGCACTGCGGTCCAAAGCGACAAACGAGTGGGCCATAACCTGGCACTGCACTGCCGGTGCACTGCCTACCTCGCCTTGCCTCGCCCCGTTCCCTCGGCAGGCCTCAAGTCGAGCCTGACGCAGCCCGCAGCGGCACGCAGGGTTTCGTTTCGATCCGGGACCGCCTTGCCTCTCCGAGCGACGCAGCGGACGCCTGCACACCGCCAGGTGGGCCGGCCCGCCGCACTGGGGCGCCCAATGGGTTGCCTACCCGCCGTTTCGCCAGGCGCTCCTTGACTTGACAGGCTGATCTGGTAACCCAAACGGGCGCGTTTTGAGCTCCAGAGTCGCTAAATGGGACTCGAACCGAACGTGTGACCCCACCAATGGATTGATCTCCGAACGAGGAATCCATTGGTGGGGTCACACGTTCGGTTCCAGTCCCATTTAGCGACTCTGGAGCTAAAAACGCGTCTAGAGTTTTGGCCGCCTCCGCCGGTCTTCTGGCCCACTGTGGGACTCCAGGACGCTAGCATAAATCGACTGGCTTGATTTTTGCTCGCCATTCTCCCTCTTGTTGCCTTTCCCTCGCCCCGCCGTGGCAGTGCCGTGGCCGTGGCAGTGCCGTGGCTGCCCCTATGAACTGTGTGCCGGATTCCTCCGCGCTCGACCGGCCGCACGGCACGGCACGGCCGCATGCTGATGCGTTACAATTATCCCGCCGCAGAACCCCGCAACTCGACCCGCACCACCGGAAGCTACGGCCCTTTTTCTGGACGTGCCCCGATTTTCCGTGTGTTCTCTCCCTCTCTCTCTCTCTCTCTCTCTCTCTCTCTCTCTCTCTCTCTCTCTCTCTCTCTCTCTCTCTCTCTCTCTCTCTCTCTCTCTCTCTCTCTCTCTCTCTCCGCCTGGGCCGAGGCAGAGAGAGAGCAAGAGAGAGGCAAACGGATGCAGGTCGTGGTCCACGCCACCCACATTTCATTACCCTTGCGGTGGTGCGGCCTGCAGATGCACTAGAACCAATAGCGCAAGGACGAAGGCCGTGCTGTGCATCAAGAGTGGACACTCCGCGCCAGAAGTAGCTTGCAGTGCAAAGGGGGCACGCGGTGGACTAACCGTGTTGTTTTTTTTGGGGCTTTTTTATTAACTTATCTTTGTCTTACGAGTAGAGAAGATGGGCTTTTACCCGTGAGATGAGAGTCGGCGAGAGTGCCACTCGGAAGAGATTGTTGTTGCTTTTGCAGCGTGTTTGAACCAGGACTGATCTAGATTTGATAAATTTTTGTCAGAATTTCCACGACGTGGCTTGGTGTGGCTCTGCGCACGAGCTTCGCGCGAGGCGTTCAGGTGCCGTTGGCGGCGTGTAGTCAGGTGGCAACCCTAGCGAGGCGCGGGGTATCGCCCGGGCCCAGCCGCTGCCCCTGTCGGCTGGAGTATTGCCGCGCACGGCGCGGACATACCCCGGCGCTCTTGTGCCATCCCTGCGTTGAGGTCTCTCCGATTTTCGGAACTCTGGTTATACAGCCTTATGTTCATGATCGTCAGAACTTTGTCTATTGGCCTTGCTGGCCGATGGAGTGTATTGTCTTATATCTGAGTTAATAATGTGGCTTGTCATGTTTGCGTGAAACATAATTTGTTTGTGGGTTTCTTTGGTGCGGAAAGCCTTATCAGATCGTAATATTACTTTTATTTACTTTTATCAAAACTGACGAACATGAATACATTTCCGTTTACCCTGGCTCACACTGTACTACACGCTCGCTCAGCAATACCCCACGGCTTGCCGGCAGGGTATCTACCACTCTGGACATACTCCATGGTCTGCCAGGGTCTGAGGTGCAATCAGTTTGTTAACTTTATTCCTTTTTTTCTATTTTTCAGGTGAGTTGCGTTGGTCAGGATATTGCGCCTTATGGTCTACCGTGACGGTGAGCTACGAGCATTATCCTAAACCTAAAGAATTTTCATCTTGTTTTCTGTAGAGGAGTGCAAGTTTTTAAAATGTGGTCTGCTTGGGAAAGTAGTGCCTCCGAAATTGTGGAACTCACAACGAAAAATGACTGCAGCTCATATATATTTATTCAAAAATGAATGTACATTATACTCCAAAATGACTGATTCGTGGCCTGCTTACAATGTAAATTCAACATAATTTTATTAAAATTAAAGCTCGGTACAGCTACATTTGGTCACATTTGAATAGACAAGTCTTGGTACTTCAAACATTGTCGGTACAATTCTTTTAAGTTCTTATTCACTTCTTCGAACTACTCTGCATAAATTCTCCACTTCTCTTATATTTTTTTCTTTTTTTGTAAATTTATTGCGCATTCTAACAAAAACAAGTCTGCCACTGGCGGATATATAACAAAAAAAACTCATTAAAATAAAAATCATAAACATTTGCTTATGTAACTTGTGCGTTGTGTCTTAACGCTTTTGATATTTAACTTTTATGGAATGTATCCGACACTAAGACATTGAAAATGTCGTAACTAAAATTCTAATGAACGCACTCGTTCGTAACAGGTACGTACAAATAACGGAATTTTATCCCATAATTTAACAACCCAGTCCTAATTATCATTCTTTATTGACCAACATTATGAATAAATATCCATCTAACACCTTCGACAAATAATCAATTCAAATATCTTACTCGCATTCTACTACCTATCTGTACACACAAAAAAAACACTTTTATACTTATGCCTATTTGTAATTCGGTTTCCTATGCTCCGTTTCCTACCATTTTTTCAGTCCTTTACGTCGAAAAATACTTTCGTTTGGTCTCTCTTCATTCTTCCCTGTACCTCAAACGCCTCCCAAACAAATTGTACTAGATTATATAAATATTTACAGGTGTATGTTCAACATTCACCATTCCTTTACAAAAAAAAAATAATATATGTTCATACATTGTGGACAAGCGTTTTTTTTTACAAAATGACAGCCTGGTCCTGCAACGTCCCGCAAGGAACCAACGTCAATTCGACGTCGAATTTGGGTCAAAGTCGACGTCGCTTTGACGTGGAGGTGCCGAGGCCAGGGCGCAGGGGGGCAGGGGGGCGGCCCAAAAAGGTCGCTCAGAGGGGCAGGCAGTAGCCGCTGTAGGTCCGCACGTTGTCGTCCTGGTACGTGTTGCCCTGGATGACGCCGGGGTCCGAGTGGTGTGTCGGGCAGTAGTGGTTGTGCGGGCACTGGCACAGCGAGTTGGTGTTGACTTCGTCCAGGAGCTCCTGGCGTCGCCGCACCGTGAACAGTCGGCAGGGCTCCTTGCGCTGGCACCGCAGCCGCTGGAAAAAGAGAGACAGTCGAGTTAGATTTGACGGTCAAGGGAGTACTGTAAACGTCTGACGGTGAAAGGCTGCAGCAACATATTGTGGTGGAGATTTTCTCCATGCGTAATACCAACGAAATTCGTCAAAATATCTATAAGTTACAGTGAATTTTCAATGATATGATATGAAGTCAGCTGCACCACCATAGTATGGAACATTTTCACCATAATATGGAGAATCTTCACTGTACAACAGGAAACGAAGAGCCCTGAGTTTTCGCGGTTTATGGCATCTGCCGCCTTGGCTAGCATTGCAGGTAGCCCTCGACCGCGAGAACCCAGGGCTCGTTTTCTGGTCAGAGTATAGAGACAGAAATACTTTGGAGGTTTGGGGACTCACGCTTTGCGGGCTGCAGGCGAACGAGTACTTGAACCGCGGCGTGGCATCCAGCCGGTCCAGCTCCTGCGCCGCGTCACCGGCGTCGTCCGCGAAGGCCTGCCGCTTGACCAGGTAGGCGATGGAGCCCCTGGGGCAGTGGCAGTGCACGATCTGCTGCGTGGCGTTGCCGGGGTAGGCGCCCGACACCAGCGTCCACGTCACGTCTCGGAAGTACCGGCACTTGGGCAGCTTCCTCACGGGGTCGCACATCTGCGGCAGGATCATCTCGTTAGCTCGAGTTAATTTCAAGTCGTGTCGTGGTCGAGGCGCGGGACCGGCTCACCTTGAGTTGCCTCGTCTTGTCCACGATGGTGTGGCCGTCGCCGGGCGAGGGGTGTCCCGGGCAGGGCTGCTGGTTGCGGCACCGGCACTGCCGCTCCAGCCACGGCTTCTCGTACACGTCCAGCTTGCTGCACACCGCGCCCTCCGCGCACTCCGGCAGCTCCTCCTCCGAGTTCTGCAACAACGAGGAGAGTAGGGTTAGAGAGGGGGCGGTCAGAATCCCGGACGCGTTTTGGGCTCCAGAGTCGCTAAATGGGACTCGAAGCGAACGTGTGACCCCACCAATGGATTGCTCTCTAAACGAGGAATCCATTGGTGGGGTGGGGTCACACGTTCGCTTCGAGTCCCATTTAGCAGTTCTGGAGCTCAAAACGCGTCTAGAATTTCGGCCTGCTGTGCGAACACGCTCGCGAACACGGTGGGGCCTTTCGGACGCGTCGCCGCGCCGCTCCAGACGCAGCTCGGATTCCTCCACTCATGAATGACTTTTTGGAATGGCGTCCTTCCGTACGCTGCTCCCCCTTCCACGGCCTTCCACGGGCCGGCCGGCCTGGCTGGCTGGCAGCATGAATGGAAAGGTGGATGAATGAGAGGAGAGCGAGAGAGAGAGAGAGGAGAGAGAGGAGAGAGAGAGAGAGAGAGAGAGAGAGAGAGAGAGACGCGGACAGCGGCCTAGGGTGACCTTGCTACGCCTCGCTCCGCCCCGCTCCGCCGCGCTGCGGGTACTTCTCTCCTCTCCGCCCGAGGAGATCCTCCTCTTCTTCCTTTTTCCAGCAGCCTCCAGCCAGCCATTCAAAAACTTGTTTTAAGCTCCTCTGTTTTTTCGAACGTATCTTATAAGTGGAAGGCTATCAAATAGCAGGGCAGCACGGTAGCAGGCGCAAGCACCTTCCCGCCCCTTCCACCGGACCCTCCCCCCCCCCCTCTTTCGTTCCGACACCTGTTCAAATAATACGGTTGCCGCGCGTGGTCTGGACCACGGTCTGGACGGCGGTCTCTCTCTCTCTCTCTCTCTCTCTCTCTCTCTCTCTCTCTCTCTCTCTCTCTCTCTCTCTCTCTCTCTCTCTCCTCTCTCGAGTGATCTCGGTTTCCGGCCGGGCGACACTGCTCGAGTCGCACTGTCATTCATTGTGAGCGAGCGAGATGGACGGCGAATCCAGAGGCTCTGTCCCCCGGAAAAATATCGGCCGTGTGTGTTTGTTTACACGCACACAAGCACACGGCAAAGATAGGCAGCGGCAAACAGGGCGCGTGTGTGTCTTGTCGAGTTGTGACAGAATCACAGATAGCAGGTAGGGGGGAAACGACGCGGGGCCCCCGGGGCGGGATTCGAACCCGCGCCAGGGACGTGGTGGTGACCCCGCCCGACTGTCACGGGCCCAGAGGAACCTATTCAGTTTGGATATTATTCCTTTTTTTGGCCGCGCGGCCGTGGAGGCCGTGGGGCCGTGCCGATGTCAGGCAGGTATCGAAGACTGGCTGCCGTGCCCCGCAGTGCCCCCTGGTGGTGAGTCCGGCCGACAGACTCTGTCGCCCTATCTTGACGTTTACACGTCAGGGGAATGGTGCTGTCCTCACAGCGGGGCGGCCGGCCTAGGCCAGCCGTCCCAGTTGCATCATGCCTTGTCAATCTTTTTTCCTTGGAAACGAGAAGTACTATGGATGGGTGTGCATTTCTCGGAGCCTTCTTTTCTAAATTATAGCGCTGCGCCCACAATGCAGCAATGCGGCATTGGGGGCATTCACGCGTATGGCCCTGCATTGCGGGGCACGGTCGCGAAAGTCCGTGCCGCCCTCTCGGACCCTCTCGGTGCCGCCCCGAGAGTGTTTGCGTTTGTTGTGGTCGCTGGTGGCTGCGCTGGGCGCGCTGGCCCATTGTGGTGCACTTGAACTTCTTGAAAGCGATCCCCTTCGTGCAGCACCACACTGGCACGACCCCTGGGATCCCTGGCGCGTCCGTCCGTCACCTCCGGGACGAGCGGCAAAATTTGGCCGTCGGCGCGACCTGGACTCGAACTTGAAACCGGAGTCTCCTAGAGCGACTTCCTGGACGCGACGCGGCCTGCGCTGGATTGCCCCTCACAATGTTGCAGGGCATTGTGAGGCGGACGCGTTAAAAGTCGTCCTTTTCACGCTTTTAATTAGGCCAGTCGCTTGGAGCTCAAAGCAACATTTTTCCGGCCGGCGACTTTGTGGAGCGAGCGGACTGACGGACAGTGCTGCCGTATTCTTCCCCCAAATTTTACGGTTCTATTTTATCGAAATTCCTCCGCCAGAGTCCCCGGGCGGTGCTTCTCGGAACGGCGCGACCGGCGGGGCGGGGCGGGGCGGGGCGGCCATGCGGCACGCCATGGCTGCACTCGGTGTGCCGGGGATAAATTTGGTAATCTATGAGGCGTGAGGTGGCTGGAATGCGATGACGGCGAGGCAAAGGCGTTCCAGGCGCTCCAGGCCCTCTGGAGAAGAAGGGCGGCTTTTTTGGCGGCGATCGCGCGAGCCGAAGACGGTGCCGACGGTGTGCCGACGGTGCCGACGGCGGCCGAAGGCTGTGGAGCCTGGAATGCCGCCTTGCCGCGCCTCCCCCACCTCCCTGACCACGCCGGGCCGGACCGCACTCCAGCACTCACTCCAGCACGCACGCTTCGGCTCGAGTGCCTTCCCGGCTGGAGTCCAGCGGTCCAGCGGCCCGCCGGCCAAAGGGTGTGAAGCGGAATGCCTAGGCCGGGCCCTGGGTGCCCTGGGCCAGGCATGGCCAGCGCAGCGTGCGCAGCACAGCGGGGTCACTTTTCGGCCGGCCGACCTCGACCTGTTGTTTTCTCGAGATAGGCGGCCCGGTGCCCAGCGTGTCCATGAAGCGCGTCAAGCTGCCGAGGTGCCCGTCAAGGTGCCCGTCGAGGTGCGGCCCGTCGACGTATGCTGCCCGTGGAGGTGCCCGTGGAGGTGCTGCCTGTCGAGGTGCCCGTCGAGGTGCTGCCCGTCGAGGTGCCCGTCGAGGTGCGACACGGCACGAGGACGCCGCCCCCAAAGGGGTTGCCTCGAGGGTTGCCTGGCCCTTCCTAGAACGGGGCATAATGCACTCCTTCCGCGGAAAGGCCGGGCAGGCCGGGCAGGCAACAAACACCGTGGAAACACACCGGGCTACCGGGCCGGCCGCTTCTCGGGACTAATTACTCCTGTACGTACTGTACCTACACCATCGGCAACCGTTTGGGATGGGATTACTACGGCGAGCAGGGAATCACTGGAACATGGCGCCTCCCTCCCTCCCCGAACCGCCCCCGCCGCCCCGGGTCATATTTTCGCTAGCGAAAACCCCCGGCGTCGCCCCGCTGCCCGTTTCGGCCGAAGGATGCCGAAGGCCTGGGGTTGATGAACCTGGTGCAGCAGCAGCCGAGCGATTCCAAGGCAGTATCGTTCCGTCTCCGTCGCTCTCACGGGGCGCCCCGTGGTCCCGAAGGGGTGCGAGAGAGACAGAGCGAGACCCTTTCCGAACCTTTGGGCGGCAGTGCTTTCCCGGAGCCACGCGCGCGTCGCCGAACCGACGGGAACCGACCTCGCTCGGCTTGCTTCGCTGAATCAATACAGGACAACAACACCTCGCCCCGTCGGCCAGCGCGCGCAGATTGCCCGCTCCGTACTTAGCAACAATTTTTCGTTTGTTTACAAACAGGTTCCACTAGTATTATCATTTTGAATTTATTTCTTATTTTTGACTGTGCTGCGCCTGGTGATGTGCGGTTTTGATGATGAGGTCTCACCTTTCTTCGCATTCCTCGGCGCCAATATCCGTCGGCACGCACCCACTGCCCCCCCCCTCCCCCTCCTTCCACGTTCCGCCCCTCCCTCCGCCCCGCTCCGCCCCGAGTCAGTCTGTTTCCAGGACTTCCAGGAGGACATTAGGGAAATGGTCCCGTACTGGACCGAGCGGCTCGCCGGTCGTGACGTCATTTCCATACGACTCGCCCGGCGTCGCTTCGCCCGCCTCGCCCGCCTCGCCAGTGTAGCCCCATTCGGAGAGCGTAGCGGGGCACACACCACGTGGCTCCAAACCTTTTTCCAGCAAGCCTCACAGTGCACGTCCTCTGAATGTCGGTTCGCGGTTCGTTTTGGTTTTGGAACGGCCGAAGAAGGGTCTGATTCGCGTAGATGCCCTGCCGACTCCCGGCCGTCTCGACGCGACGCTGCTTTCGGTCGCCGCGTCGCCGCGTTTTCGCTGGCTTTCCAGGAATATGGTGGTGCCGTTTCGCTGTGCAGGCAGTCTGCAGGGGGGCTGCTGCCTTGGCTGCTGCTGCTTCGGCTACCAGGTTGCAGCGAGTTTGCACCGGCAGCGTTCGCGGAAACCTTACGTCCAGGAGAGCCGAGCTCGAGTCGGGCTGAGCCGAGTCGGGCCGCGTCGGCCGCGCCAGCGCGCCAGCCAGGGCAGGTATGTGGCGGCAGGTAGCATGCCCCTGGCGGGCCCTGGCCATGGAGGCCCTGGCACGCCCCGGCAAGGGCCGCCTGCCCGCCAAGGGCCCTTAGAGGGCAGGGCGGGGCGCGCCGGCCGCGTTTTGGCGCGAAACGGCTGTGTTGGCGCGCGCGTCAAAAAGTTTGAAATATTTGAATTCCTGCTTGTTGTTGTTGTCGTCCTGAGGTTTGGTTGGCGACCCTTCGTCGTCCATTCACGAAGAAAATGAATTACACTCACTCATGCCAACCGTCCCGCCCTCATGGCCGCGGCGAGGACCAAGGCGAGGACCCCCTGGCGGCCCTCAACCCGCAGGACCTCAAGCCCTCAGAGAGGGCGTCCAGAATGGACTTCCTGGAGAGTCCTGTAACCTCTAAAGGACCTCTAAAGGACCCTTGAAGGATCATTTGAAGGACCACTTGAACGACCCTCTCAGAAACTTTTGAAGGACATCGCAAAGGACCCGCACTCTCTGAGGACTGCTCCAAGTCTAAAGGACCTTGCGTGACCTCCTGAGAGGTCTACTGAAGGACCCTTGAAGGACCTCCTGAAGGACTCTTTCTGCGTGACCTCCAGAAGGGCCTCCTGAAGGGTCTCCTGAAGGTCCTCCTGACGCCCTTAGGCCCCTGCTGCGACGCGCGACCCCCGCGCGACCATTGTCTGCCATTCACCTCCTTCATTCATTGTCCATTTCGTGTTTTCCCTCCACAAAGGGCAGCACTTCAGCGCGCATCTGGGTAGCAAAAAAAAGGAGGTGGGGGAGGGGAGGGGGCCCGCAGCGAAATATGAAATGGGTTATGGGACGTGAGCCGAACACGTGAGGCCGGGGGCGGCGCGGGGGCGGCGCGGGGGCGGCGGGCTTCAGCCACGTGGAGGCTCGGAGGCGGGCGGGGCCCGGGCGGGGCGGCCCCGACCGTGGGAACCCGGGGGTGGATTTCACCCCGACAGCTGTGCCGGCTCGGCAGTGCTCGGCACCACTACACTGTGGGGCCCGGGCCGCAGGTGTTGGCTGGCGGGCCGGGGCACCTTCGGGGCACCTTCGGGGCCCCCAATGGAAGTCCGAATGGAAGCGGGCGGGGCAGGCGGGGCCCGCATTCACCGGCCAGCACTCCAGCGGGCACTCCGGCACACTGCATTGTGTCGCCTGGATTACGCGCATCTATTTTCGGGGGGACGGCCGCCACACCTGTTGACGCTCTCCACTCCATGTGTGTGTGCGTGCGTGTGAGTGTGTGCGTGCGCGCGCGCCAGCCAATCGAAGCGTGGCCCGAACGTGACGCTGGCCGGCTCACGCAACGCGATACGCGATCCTCCTGTCGTCCGGAATAAATTTTACCGGAGAAAAGGCAAAAGGTGTTGTGTCTGTGTGTGTGCGCGCGACGGTGTGTGTGTGTGTGTGTGTGTGTGTGTGTGTGTGTGTGTGTGCCTATCACTCAAGCCCTTCGGTTTCCAGTTACGTGTGTGTGTGTGCGTGCGTGTGTTGCGGCCAATGCTTGTGCTGCTCACCTCGGGGCTGCGCCACGCCGCGCCACGCCACGCCTTGTGGTTTGGGGCTCCTATTACCAACCAGATAATGACGTTCGTACGACCTATCCAGCACTTCAAGCCTCTCTCTCTCTCTCTCTCTCTCTCTCTCTCTCTCTCTCTCTCTCTCTCTCTCTTCTTTCCCCTCCTCTCTCTCCTCTCCTCTCTCATCTCTCTCTCTTCTCGTCGTTTGTTTTCTTTTATTTCCCCCCTTTTTAGTACCCTTTTCCCCTCTCGCTGCCTTCTCAAAACTCGGGGGATATCAAATGAAATCGAAGTGCTACGTGACGATTTTGGCCGCTACGGGACACCACAGTCTGGATCGAGCGCCTGGAGCCTGGGGGAGCCTGGAGTCTTGGAAGTCTGGCGTCTTGGAAGTCTGGCGTCTTGGAAGTCTGGCGTCTTGGAAGTCTGGCGTCTTGGAAGTCTGGCGTCTTGGAAGTCTGGCGTCTTGGAAGTCTGGAGTCCTGGAAGTCTGGAGTCTGGGCCACCGTGACCAGCTCCGGAGTGATCCTCCCGAATTCGTCGAACCTGCCATGAAATTATTCCTGGTGAACCGATGTTCGAAAATATTGTGGGAAGTGTGTAGTTGTCCGGAGCCGGGCGGCTTGTCGGTCTGTTGCATAAGAGGGCGCGAGTGCCAATCACAGCGCGGGTTGGCGCAAACCCGCTGTACCACTGTACACTGCAACGCACTGCAACACTGCTTCGCCCACCTCGACGGTTTCCTGTCAGGCAAACCTCTCTGCCCTGATTGCCGTGGCGACTTCCCCGCTCCCGCGCTGTTTTCCATCAATATTTTCTTTTCCTCGTTTCAATCCCACCGCCATGACCGTTTTTATCGCAACTTTTTGGTCGCTCTGCCTTTTTGTTTGCAGTGTCCTTCGTGAATGGGCCTTACTACTTGCGCCATGTCATTGACTTGCTTGTAGCGCAATCCTGTACGGCCATTCATGAAACGCGGAGTGGAGGGGGCCGCGGCACCGAGCCTCTTTCCCTCTCTCTCTCTCTCTCTCTCTCTCTCTCTCTCTCTCTCTCTCTCTCTCTCTCTCTCTCTCTCTCTCTCTCTCTCTCTCTCTCTCTCCCCCCCCCTCCCTCCCTCTCACTCACTCACACTCTTACACCCCCCTTTTTTGCTGTGTATACATCATTCGGACGCTACAAACTGAACTGCGTTTTTCCGAATTCGCAAGTCCGTGGCGTTCCATTCGTCAGTGCAGGTCGCCTGGCGTTGCCTCACTGCTCGCCGGCCGGCATTTCAATCGCGTCGCCATAGCCGCTCCAGTATTCCAGTGCAGTCTCCTCCGAGTGACAGTGGTGCAGCACCGCGCTGGACCCGCGGGGCCCAGCAAGGGGCCGCAGGACGCGTCGCGGGGGACACACGGCCAGGACACTGCAGGACACTGCCATTTGCGTTTTTCTGTTTTCCCCCAGCGCGGCGCGAATGTAGTCCAAGGAATTCCAGCATGAAGCTCCCTCCAGCCAGAGATGGCCGGCGTGATGAGACGAGTCGCTCTGTCTCTCTCGCACTCATGGGGCGTCCCGCACGGGTGCGAGAGAGACGAGTCTACAGGAGGCTCCTGCAGCCTCTGCTGGAGCCTGGAGGCAGCCTGGAGGCAGCCTGGAGGCAGGCAAGGCTAGGCTGCTGGCGGCTCGGTGGCGTGGGGCTTTGGCCGCGGCGTGGGGCTTTAGCGTACCCGAGGCTGGAATGTTCCCGACGTACCTACAGTGCCCCGCGCGCCCCGCCGTGCCCCGCCCTGCCCCGCCCCGCCCTGCCCCGCCGTGCCAGCTTCTTTTTAACCTGGACAAGCTTCGCGTCGCTTCGCGTAATCTAATCCACCTGAGCGACGTGACTTCCGTTCCAAACAACGACCGTCCTTCCGTTACAGCGCCCCGCTCCACGTTGCTAACGCGTTGCTCGCGTTGCTCGCGTTGCTAACGCGTTGCTCCGCGTTGCTAACGCGTTGCTCCGCGTTGCTAACGCGTTGCTCCGCGTTGCTAACGCGTTGCTCCGCGTTGCTAACGCGTTGCTCCGCGTTGCTAACGCGTTGCTCCGCGTTGCTAACGCGTTGCTCCGCGTTGCTCCGCGTTGCTCCGCTTTGCTCCGCGTTGCTAACGCGTTGCTCCGCGTTGCTACGCGTTGCTCCGCGTTGCTAACGCGTTGCTCCGCGTTGCTCCGCGTTGCTCCGCGTTGCTAACGCGTTGCTCCGCGTTGCTCCGCGTTGCTCCGCGTTGCTCCGCGTTCGAGACACTCAACTTTTGATGGCGGGACTCTGAGTCGTTTTCGTCGCTCTGTCACCCTCGCACCTGCAAGAGACGCCCCATGGGGGCGACAGAGAAACAGCGACGAAAACAACTCTCGGAATCAGTCTGCTGGTGCGAATTTGTTTGTTTCGACTCCCTTCCTCCCCCCCCCTTCCCCCTTCCCCCTCCCCGGCGCACTCCAGCCGCGCCGCGGGCCAGCGGCCGAGAATGAATGGAGTTTGCCTGCCAGCGGCGTGGCTACAGCGGGGCCACAGCCAAGGAGTTGGAGTGACCGCAGCGTGGCTCTAGCGTCACTCCGGCGTCACTCCAGCGTCACTCCAGCTTCACTCCAGCACACTCCAGCGACACACCAGCTACACACCCGCTTCACTCCAGCGTCACTCCAGCGACACTCCAGCGACACTCCAGCGACACTCCAGCGACACTCCAGCGACACTCCAGCGACACTCTAGCGACACTCCAGCGACACTCTAGTGACACTCCAGCGACACTCCAGCGTCACTCGAGTATCACTACAGCGTTACAAGACTTGATCAAGGCTGCACATCGAGACCACATCGACTCTTCATCGAAAATTCATCGAGAATTCTTTGAGGCTTCAGTGAGACTAGACTCCGTGCAGCGTGTCTAAAGCGTGACTCAAGAGTGACTCCAGCAGCGAGACTCCAGCGAGACGGCATCGAGAGTACATCGAGACGTGACTGCGGCATGCGAGACGTTTTCCTTTTGGTCCGCGGCGTGGCCCTCGGCGTCTCTGTGCCAAATGCCGACACCGCCTCCCCTCCCCACCCCGCCCCGCCCCGCGGCCACGTTGTCATGGAAACCGGGAATCATGAATGGAGCCGAGGCGTAGTGGGAGCGGCATGCGGCATTCCACGCCAGCTCCTCCATTCATTGACGGCGCGGCGCCATCCGTACCGGTCCGCCCCGCCCCGCCCCGCCCCGCCACGCCCCACGGAGGACGTGCCCGCCGCACCGCGCAGCGCCGCGCCCTGGACGAGGCCGGCCGGCTGGCGGTGGCTGGCGCGCCGCGCCGAGGCGGGGTGGCACACTGTGGCACCACGGAGTGTGAATCCTTGTTGGTAAATACGAATTGCACGTGTCTCCGGCTTTCGGCGCCCAGCCTCGCGCCCTGCCCAAGACAACGCCCGCTCCATGCGTGCGCGCGCGGACGCGCCGACACTGTAGAAGATCGACACGCGTGGCAACCCGAGTGCGCCTTGGCGGTACTCACCCCGACTTGGTACAGCGTCCGTATCCGCTTGTCGTGCTGCGCTTGCTGCGCTTGCTGCTGTAGGGGCGTGGCCAAGTCCCAGCGGCCGGGGTCCAGCAAGTCGAGTTCCAGATCCAGGTCGTGGTTGTGGTGGTGGTGGTGATGGTGGTGGTGGTGGGCCAGCATGACCAGGGGCAGCCGCGAGGCCATGGACACCGGCACCAGGCTCAGCACCACCAGCAACCACCGCAGGAACACGGTCATATCCTCCCAGTGGTGGTGATGGTGATGGTTGTGGTAGCGGTACTGGCGGTCGCCGAGCTGTTGGTTGCTGTGGTGGGGTGCGATCTGGTGATAGGTGCGCTCCGCCGAAGATGACATTCTACGGAGGAGAGGCTCCTCCATCACACACTCACTCTCTCACACACGCAGACACTCGCGACACGGCACGGCACGGCCCCGGCTACGCTAGGCTGCGCTCAGCGTCTTGCAGGCCGTCTTGCAGGCCGTCTGTACTACGACTGGCTGTGGAGGGCTCTCCACCACCACCTCGAGGAGAGCTGAGCGCAGCGCGCGCGTTGCCGGTGCCGGAGCGGCGGGAGCAGCACTCCCCCCTCCCCTCCCCTGCTCTTGAGCGGGTAGGGCCGGGCGGCGCGGGGCCGCCGTGCCTCGCAGGTCCGCTCAGCCCCTGCCGGCCAGTCCCCCCCCCCTCCCCCTCCCCTCCGGCCCTACCGACCTTCCGTCCGGACAACTTTTCTTCATGAATGGAGCGGAGCCCCGTCTCGGAGTGGAGGGAGGGACTGCCTGGTTGCCGGTTGGCGTGGCGGGGCGTAGTAGGGGCGTGCGCGAGATGTGGTACTCGCGATGTGGTGCCCGCCGCCGCGATGTGGTACCCGCCGCCGCGATGTGGTACCCGCCGCCGCGATGTGGTGCCTGCCGCCGCGATGTGGTGCCCGCCGCCGCGATGTGGTGCCCGCCGCCGCGATGTGGTACCCGCCGCCGCGATGTGGTACCCGCCGCCGCGATGTGGTGCCCGCCGCCGCGATGTGGTACCCGCCGCCGCGATGTGGTGCCAAGCATAGGCGTTTGCAAGTGCGTACATGGCAAGCATGCATTTAAGTGTGTACTTGCCAAGCATGCATTTGTAAGTGTGCACTTCGTAGACAGTTAGGTTTTGTAGTGTTTTCCAGCAGAGTCCAGCGCTATACTCAGCGATCAGTAAAAGAGAGACGCGATGGGAGAGTGTAAGACGAGGACGGGAGTCGAGACGGCTGCCTGCGGCTGCGCCCTTCACGGCCTGACTCAAGGCGTTTCTGGAAAGCGAGGCGGCCAGGTTTTCCGCCCACGCGGTCTGCTTCTAGCAACCGACTTGTTTGCCCGGTCTTTCCTCGGGCCGGCCGCTCATCCTAGTTCACGGAACTGTTTTTCGGCCCGGTCTATTCCACTTATCGATCCGAGTCTCTTGCGTCACGCCAATGGCGGCGTCTGTGTCTCCCTCCAGCCCTGAGATTTCCGCAGAGCGCCTCGCTCCGCACAGTGGGCCAGAAGACCGGTGGAGGCGGCCGAAGCTCTAGACGCGTTTTGAGCTCCAGAGTCGCTAAATGGGACTCGAACCGAACGTGTGACCCCACCAATAGATTGCTCTCCAAACGAGGATTTCAATCAAATTTCGAAGAATTTCAGTCGCATTCGGTCGCATTCCGATGAATTTTGGTCAAATTTCGATGAATTTCAAAAAATTTCAGTAAATTTTTCATGTTTGATGAATTTTGGTGTACAAATTTGGCTGGAGTTATTTCCCCTTGGGCCTAAGGCTTCCTGGGAAAACGGCGTACCCGAGACCAGCGAACGAATAGGAGGAGATGCTACTGTTTAGCGAGGTCCACGACGGTTGTCCACGGTTTGACTTGGTGCCCTTGTTGTTCGCAGGGAGGATGTACGGCGTGCTGAACCGGCGCCACGGCCGCGTCTTGGCCGGCGACATGGCGGAGGGCTCGGGCGCCACCTTCAACGTGACCGCCGTGCTGCCCGTCGTCGAGAGCTTCGACTTCGCGGCCGAGATCCGCAAGCAGACCTCGGGCCTGGCCAGCCCGCAGCTCGTGTTCAGCCACTGGGAGGTAAGGAGAACATCCCGCGTTTCGAAAAAACGTTTTTACCCGGAAGGGGGACAGGATGGAGGGCGTTATTCAGTGACTCGCTCCCTATCCTTCCCGACATCAAAGTTCAGCATGTGTGTGTGTGTGTGTGTGTGGACTGACTTACGATCGCCACCCTGACTTATGCCTCGAGCCCCGCAAGCCCCGCCGCCGCCCCGCCTTGGACAGGAGAGAGAGAGAGAGAGAGAGAGAGAGAGAGAGAGAGAGAGAGAGAGAGAGAGAGAGGTCCGATAGGGCAGGCGAGCTATGCCGCCCTAAGGGTTCGGGGCTGCCAACCCCGCCCAACAATTATACTCGCCCCGGCGCGCCTCTGGCTGCGCGTGCGTTTCGGCCTCTGGGTTTCGCCAAGGTTGGCCATACTGATTTAGAGGCCGGCCGAGTCATTTTTATCGCGAAGGGAAACCAAGGGCCATATGGCGGGCCTTCGCGTCCCAAAAGTGAGCCGGGATTTTTCAATTTGGACCCGGATCTGGCACGCCACTGGTATACGCCTGGGGGCCCCCGGGGCCTGGACCGGCCTACACTGCTGCTGCCGGCGCCCAAAATAAATCTGTTCGTTTTTTATTTCTCTCTCTTTCTTGCCTTACATGCTTTATTGCCGTATAATTGGGAGTATCGATTTTCCGAGCTACCGAAAGCAATCACGAACGAGTGCAGTGGCTGACTGCAGTCCGCCGCTCGCTGCTCCGCCCCGGAAGGCAGGCTGGCAGAGGGACTCGAAGAGGGAGGCACAACATTCTCTGTTACCGAAACTGATCGCCGCCACTAATAAATCGCGAAGCCCGAAGACGCACAAGACGGACGACCTCACACCGGAAATTGTGGCGCGCGGAATCTTCCCTGACCGGGGGGCAGTGCACTGGGAAAAGAAAAAGTTTGTAAACAAGGCGCTTCGAGGAACGGGCGTTCCAATTAGCCTCGGTTTAGTTCGGCAGCGAAGGCAATTACGCTAAATCCTGTTGAAATTAAAATATCATTCTGTTGGCACGCCTGGGAACAGATTGCGGTAGTATTCCGACAGTGGCACGTTTTTAGCAGGGCACTGGACCGCGACGCACAGTGGGCTAGAAGACCGGTGGAGGCGGCCTAAACTGTAGACGCATTTTGAGCTCCAGAGTCGCTAAACAGGCCTCGAACCGAAAGTGTGACCCCACGAATGGATTCCTCGTTCGGAGAGCAATCCATTGGTTGGGTCTCACGATCAGTTTGAGCCCCTTTTGGCGACTCAGGAGCTCAAAACGCGTCTAGCATTCTTGCCGCCTCCACCGGTCTTCTGGCCCACTGTGCGACGGATGGAACGCGGCCACAAATACCTCATTCCCCGCGGGGCAGGCCTGATGAATGCATTCCATTTATTGACGCGATTATTAAATCATTTCAAAATTTACGCGGAATTCGAGATGGAGATATTCATCTGGGCGGAATCATACACTGGCCCGGGGCGTCGCGCGGACAGGATTTTCTCTCTCCCTCTCTCTCTCTCTCTCTCTCTCTCTCTCTCTCTCTCTCTCTCTCTCTCTCTCTCTCTCTCTCTCTCTCTCTCTCTCTCTCTCTCTCTCTCTCTCTCTCTCTCTCTCTCTCTCTCTCTCTCTCTCTCTCTCTCTCTCTCTCTCTCTCACTCACACACACACACACACACTTATTCGTGTCTCTCCTGAATCCTCTCGTGCAAAAGCAACTTTTGAACGTCCTGGCGTCAAGCTTGACCCTGAGCTCGCGGGGGCACCAAATCAGTTAGAACAAGGTCGAAATTTGTTGGTAAAATTTCCCACTGACAGCAGCGGGACACGATGAGGACACGATGTGGACACGATCGGAGGACGTCTGGCCGCCTCGTTATGCGGCTCATTTGGTTTGATTCGTTCTTCCCTCTCGAGTCAATTGGGGGGCAAGTGGTCTCGCAGTGCGTCGGGCCCCACCTTACCCGTTTGTACGAATGAAATGCATCCGCATCCTTGGGGTCGTCCACTCCGAGAGGGAGAGAGGGAGAGAGAGGAGAGAGAGAGAGGGGGAGAGAGAGACAGAGAGAGAGACTCACACACAACTCCTCCTCCCGGCCGCTCGGTGCACAGTAGCTACGCCCCTGGCGACGCCCCCGGCTACGCTCCTGCCTCCTCCGCCACATCCGGCCGTAATGGTGGATGGTACCATGATGGTACCATGATGGTACTCCAGCGCGCTGCTGCGGTGGCGGACAAAAAAAGGCTAAAGAAATGTCCAGCGGCGGCAGCGGCCGGGCTGGCTCCCAATCCGAGTGGCGATCCTTGTCCGGCAACATGCCCTGTCTCTCTCGCACCCCTATGGAGCGCCCCGAGAGCGAGAGAGAGAGAGAGAGAGAGAGAGAGAGAGAGAGAGAGAGAGAGAGAGAGAGAGAGAGAGAGAGACCTCCCTCTCGGAATCAGTCTGCAGGGGTAGCCTGGGACAGCCTGGGGCACTATCGCAGCACGAGCACCACCAAAAAGTTGTTTGTTGTTGTTGTTGTTCTTTCGGGAGGAGGGGGAATTGTTGAGTATATGGAAAAACGACGTCGCGCACAGAAAACTTCACGTTACTACAAGAGTGTGCTCCAGTTCAGTTTTGGTTTAGAAGAACACCATGTTTGCGTTGCGTGTGTGGAACTCGTGGAACTCGTGGAAGGCCAGGGAAGACACCGGGAAGAGCCCTGACTGGCCGAGCCGGCAGAGCCCGTGTGATGTCACGTAGATGTCCGAAAAAGGTTGGCCGATTTACAACTATCCGAACAATTTTACTGCCAGCCGTCCCACCGCAAGTGTCCATTTCCGCCAAGCGACTCCCGGCGGCGGGGAAATAAAAAAAAAGACTCTGACATTCCTCTACGAACGAACGACCGCAGCGTACGTCTGCGGTCCTGCCAAGGACCCACCAAGGACCTTCCGTCAAGGACCTTCCGTCAAGGACGTCGCAGGGACGCCACGGCGACGCCACGGCGAAAACGCGAACCGGATGCAAGAGACCACTTTTCAATTTTCATTCAGTGGTCAGTGTGCGCACTGCCGAAAGAAGTTGTCGGAGGCTTTCCCGCGCTGGAAAAGGCTTGACCAGCGCGTCGCAGCGCGTGCCCCAGTGGCGCCCAGGAATGGTGCAGACGAGCCCCGAGTGGGAGGCGCACAGTGGGCCAGAAGACCGGTGCAGGCGGCCAAAATTCTTGACGCGTTTTGAGCTCCAGAGTCGCTAAACAAGACTCGAACCGAACGTGTGACCCCACCAGTGGATTCCTCGTTCGGTGAGCAATCCATTGGTGGGGTCACACGTTCGGTTCAAGTCCCATTGAGCGACTCTGGAGCTCAAAACGCGTCTAGAATTTTGGCCGCCTCCGCCGGTCTGCAGGCCCACTGTGAGGCGTTGGCGCCAACAGAATTTCACTCAATCACCCAAAGAAGCATCGAGGGGAGGCTACTCAATGGACTTCTCCGAACAATGGCTGAGACCATGCTACTGCCGTACACGCACGTACACACACACACGCACACACACTCACACACTGAGGCGCGCCAGCACGCACGCCAGGTAAAACCTTTAAAGTAACAGTGTATATTATTAGTATCCTGGGGCGTGATTTGTAAAGGGCCTGCTGAGGCCTAAAACCTTATCTTAGCCGGCCCATCAGAACCCTACCTGCGAGGAGGACCAGTATCCAAGACCAGTAGCCCGGCCGGCCGGGGCGGCCAGGGCGGCCAGGCCTCAGCGTGTCACGCGGGCTACGCATATTTTATACCCGCTCTATAAATCTTTCCCGAGGGGTAGTAAAAAGGAAGGGGTACTGGCCGTAGTATGGTTCGGCCAGGAGTTCGGTCGGCCCCGGCGAGCGGAGCGGAGCCCCGCGGGCTTGCCAAAAAACCGGGACAACAGTCTTGGAGAACGCAGCAACTTGATTTCGCGAACAAAAAAAGTGCCTAAAGTTTTACCGTTGGATCACGCCTGCCTCGCTGGGTATTTCCAACATACGAAGGCACACATAGCCTACGGCCTATCTCAGCCAGCCTTGCTTGTCACCGAAGCCGACAGCTGTTCTGCCTGTGTGTCAGGACAGGCTGAGGTAGGCAACTCTTTCGACACCGATGCGTCATTGATGCATCGTTGGGGAGTTTTCGCCATGGTGGTAAAACTGAGGCGATATCCCGACTTCACTATGGGAACTTCACTCGCGACACACCCAGAGAACTGCGGGTTTTTGTCCTTGTGGCCTCGGCAAAACGAAATGTCACTTTTCTCATATGTTCGTCGCGCTCCCCATCCTGCGTATATCAGCCCGTGCTGCGAGTACGCGACCGCGGCGTTATTGGCTCTACGCAGGGCGGCTAGCCGGGGGCGTGGCGCCGCGTGGCGCGCAGTGGCGCGGCGTCGGCCGTGATGGACACCACGAGGCTGTAATTTAAAACCAACTTGGGTGATTTCTCTCGTGTTTGAGTTGGCCGTGGATAATCATGAGGGTATCAGGGCGGGCCCAGGGGCGGGGCCAGGGGGCCGAGGGCGAGGGGTAGCCGGGTAGCCGGTCGCAGAAAAAAGGAGAAGAACTCAACAGGCTGGCAGGCTTTTACTTTGCGCGTAATCTGGCTAGGGGTCGGCAGGCTGCGGCAGGCAGGCCAACCCGACGGAGCCAACGGCGGGCCGAGGTTCGGGGAGGGGCAGCGAGGGGCACCCAGGACACCGGAAGTGGCAGGTGGCTGTGCTTGCAGTGTGCTTGCTCTCGACCAATCACCTGGCCGTATCCCCGCAGCCCCGCAGCCCTGGAATCTGGTTCATATCACGCTGTCCTATTGGCAGACCTGGCAGGGCCGCAGCGCGACCCGTGAATGTGAATGTGATGCCCATCAAGATCTGAATGCGCGCTCCATCATCACCGTGTGGACAGTTTTTTCCTCCTCCTCCTCCTCCCGCTCCTCTCCTCCTCCCGGTCCTCCTCCTCCTCCTCCTCCTCCTCCTCCTCCTCCTCCTCCTCC